GATTCATTTTAAAATTTAATATAATAGACAATTTTGATATACACATACATTGTACATGTTTTGTGTTAAGTAGAAATTTTTAGCTTATTTTGAACACAATTGGATATTTTATGAAATTTAAAAGTTGCTCATAAATTTGGCATACTATAATACAGTAAAATGACTAGAAAAGAAGTGTGATACAAATAGCCTTATAATTATGTTTGGCCTTATTCTGCAACCAACAATTAAATTAGACTTAGAGCTATAATAGCACTATCATTATCATGCATGACTGACTTTGTTTCATCCATTAGAAAATATGGTATGTATGTTTCTTTTAGACATAAATGAATGCCTATCTAACAATGGTGGCTGTGAACAAGTTTGTACTAATACAAATGGAAGTTTCTACTGCTCTTGTATTCCCGGTTATGAGCTTGAAGGAAGCATTTTTTGCTCAGGTTTGTTGCATTGTCATTTTTACAATCATTTTTTGGATGTCCAGAAATTGATGAATGTGAACAAGGCACTGATAGCTGCACTCAGCAATGTACCAATACTGATGGCAGTTACTACTGCAGTTGTAATATTGGCTATAATCTTGGCAGTGATAATTATACTTGTATAGGTTAGTTTATTAGTTGGTTTTAAAATAATTGTGATAATTAACAGATGATGATGAATGCTCTCACAGTGTATTTCCATGTGATCACTACTGTATGAACAATGAAGGATCATTTGACTGTGGGTGTATGGCTGGGTATACTTTAAGCACCAATAAAATATCATGTCATGGTAAGCTGTCTTTTTGGTATAATGATTAGATTTTCTTGATTCTTAGATATTAATGAATGTGACATGGGAAATTCTACATGCTTTCATACTTGTATTAATACTGCTGGCAGTTACTACTGTGAATGTAATTCAGGCTACTACTTAAGTCGTAATGATGATTACACCTGCTTTGGTTAGTTTTCTGAATAAAATTGTATGAGTTTTTTACTTATAGATATTGATGAGTGCTTTTTTCGACTTCATAACTGTGATCAAATTTGTATCAATACTCCTGGCTCATTCAATTGCTCATGTAACTCTGGCTATTTTCTAAAATCTAATGGAGTTACATGCCAAGGTAATTACTGTCTAGCAGTAAATTTTTGTTGCCATAAAATTTGACTGTCCATCCTAGCAGGCCCTACAGGGTATTTTCATTTATTTTCATTGATTAATTAATCATTAACCCAGTTGTGCCCACTTCATTTTAAATTTTTATTGTTTAAATTTTTGTTAAACTTTTGGCCAACTAAACAAATGAAAATTATCACTTGACAAAAGTTACCTGCATATGGTAATTACTTGATTCAGATATTAATGAATGCCATGACAATAATGGAGGGTGCTCTGAAACATGCAGAAATACTCTTGGAAGTCATTATTGTGAATGTTCTGAAGGATATCAGTTGGTTGATACAAAAAACTGTGAAGGTATTACTGTGTGTCAAGTACCTAATTAGATCCAAGATTGTAATTTATAGATATAAATGAATGTTATTATAACAATGGAGACTGTAACCAAAACTGTACTAACACTATTGGAAGCTATCAGTGCTCTTGCTTTGCTGGCTATTCCCTTTATAACAACACATATTGCATAGGTAACTGTCATGTAAGTTCCATGATAATAACTGAAGCATTAAACAGATTACAATGAATGCTTACAAGTGGACATATGTAGTAGTAGATCTCACACTGATTGTCGCAATACTGAAGGTAGTTTTGTTTGTACATGTCAAACAGGATACAACTTGACTGGTGATAATACTTGTGAAGGTTAGTGACTATACAGCTATAGCTCTTACTATTTGGTGCTGTGTAGATGTCAATGAGTGCCTAATCGAAAACAAATGTGCATCTGATCAATACTGTGAAAACAATGAAGGCAGCTTCAAATGTTTATGTTATTCTGGATATCAGTTGAGCAGTAATGATTATAACTGTACTGGTTAGTATACTATGCTTTTGATTGAGTCAAGAGTATTTATTACCTGCTTTTAAAAGATATTAATGAATGTTCTCAGTATAATGGAGGGTGCCAGCATAATTGCATCAATGACATTGGTTCGTATCATTGCACTTGCAATGATGGCTTCACTTTATCTGATGACAATTTTAATTGTGAAGGTATTATACACACTATTTAAGCTTTATTATTATAAATTTTAATAGCAAAGCCTGGCTTAGCAAATGCAAGTACAAGCTCTTTAGTATCTCAAACAAGTGAAAATGCAATTATAACTGTCACTGTATCTCAAAACATAACTTACACTGTGAGTCACAATTAACATAATTTCATTATTATGCATGTTTTTAGGAAGCTTGTCCTAATAATATAGTGTATGCAACAATACCAATCACTATTGTTGTTATTGGAGGTATGCAAATTAATGGCTGTAATTTAACTCATATTCATTACTCTTTGTAGTTACAGTTATAGCCTTACCTACAATCATTCTGGTAATGTTTGTCCTAATCTCAAAGCGTAAAAAAGCACAGGAGTCAACAGATTATGATATCATGAGGAAGGATGTTGATAATCCTTTGTATGATCTTGGGATGCACTCATCAACTTTGTTTTAAAGGAAAAAATAGTAATTTGGATGTATAATAAATAAGATTACATCAAAAGCTAAATAGCCACAATCGGCATGCTGCTATTTTATATGCATTACATTACTATTGCTCTAAAGCTGACTTTTTATCATTGCTTAACTTTTTGGATTGACGTACACTAGTAATATTTTCATGCCAAAAAATAGTAATAAAATTTTAAAATTGAAAAAAGGGTTTGAATTAATTGTATTAGGACAACTGACTGCATGAGACAAATCTAATAGTAGTATGAAAATGGCAATCACACTTGGTTCACAGAGGACTTGGCAGAGAAAAAGTAAAAAAAGAAGGTTGAAAGGAAAAGTGTACCTTTACTGGAATCTTCAGCCGACTAACTTGGCGGCATAAATTCACAAGTAAATGTGTGCACACTTTTTCTTTGGTTGTACAATTTTTAGCTAGCAATTATTCTAAATAGTTATTGTAGTTTTTGACAAGTTAACCAATTTAACGATAATTATTTTTTGTCTTTAAATTGTCTAGTTTTATAATCATTTTTTTTTGATTTGATTATAAATAATAAAATATATTGTACTTGTATAGAAATTGCAAAGCAGCTAGTATTCAGTCTTGAATTTTTAGGCTTTATATTGAAATTGAATTGACAAAAATATGTAAAATACTTGTACACAATGAGACTAATAAAAGCGATAATATAAACATTCAATGAGTAAAACACTATTGAGTACTGCATTAGTCAGATAACTGGCAGTGACTATATAATCATTCAAATTATACAGTGAAGTCCACACACGAACTGAAAATTAGGAATGAAATTTATAAAGTGCATTAATATCACTTACCTAAGCAATTATAAGCAGAAATACCCCATGTTAAGGCACTAACATTAGCAGACGTCTTACTGGAATAAAGTGCTTGAATGTGCAAGCACTTGCTAAGGGACATCACAGGTATTCGACTCAGCTACATACATTAAAATGTTAATGATAAAGGAAATGTACAATAGTTACTGACCAGAAGGATTGAAAAAACTGTATTTGGTATGAAGTGTAGCAGTGTAGACAAGAGGAACAAAATGACACTGGAACAGAAATTTATAACAATAATAATAACAATTCAAATAGTAACTAACCATGTGATACATGCTTTATTTTCAAGACTGAAAGCTTTACCTCCTTTGTATAATATTACAAAAAAACGATGATGGCAGCTATAAAAATAAAGTTATTTAAATTATTTTATTCAATCAATTTTTGCATAAAATGTAAGTTCTAACTGACAATAATAAAATTATTTAGTAAAAGATGCAAAATGATCAAATTTCGGTCAAGGGCAGGGTTTGAGTTTCTCACAGAATTTTGGCATAGTGCTAATGCAGTCAGTGAATTTTAAAGTTTACTCAAAAATTTGACAAAATATCATATACTATTACAGGGTATTTTTATTAATTGCTAGCTGAGAATTTTTTAAAGTACGTATACATGTTTTTTGTGTTGTACGGCTAAATCGAATAAAAATTGGATGTTATTTTACAAATTTTAAAGTTATTTAAAAATTAGAACAAGTCTGTGTACTATACATGTCTTTGGCCAGCTCTTGCCATAGGAGGAAATTCTTTGCAAAGCCAAAATCAAATCAAACTTTCTACACAGTATGAAAAACATGTATAAAAAAGTACAAAAATGTTCTCTACTTTTTATTTTTGATGAAATTTGGCCAAAATCTGTATCCTATAGTACAAGGCACTTTGGCCTGATTTTTAGTGAGTTTAAAAATTCTCAAAAATTCAATTTAAATTGGACTCAGCTCAAACTAAAGAGCATAAAAACATGTACCATATTTCCTCAAATAAAAGCCCAGGTATCTATTTCCAGGAGCCCATAAAAAAGCAAGGTAGGAGCGCAAAATTCCCATGCAATTAATTAAAATAACAGCAAATCCTTGTGCCTGCATATCTTAATGTTGTTACTATTTTTAGCACAAGTTAAACCACACCCGTCTAGTAATGGCTACCAGTGTAAGAAGCTGTTTACAACTCAAAATGCTATGCCAGCAACATAATTATTGAAAGAACTTGAAAAAATAAGTATGCTACAATGTACCCTATAATCTTAGCTATTTACAGTAGTGAATTATCTCTGAATCAAGTTACTACCGAGACTTGCTGCACTTGATTGAGAGATTATTCTACTTTAAAATAGCTAAAATTTCAGGGTAGCATACTTATCTATTCAACTTCTTTCAATAACTCTGCTCCTAGCATAGCATTTTGAGTGGTAAACACTAACAACTTCTAATCTTCACATTGGTAACCATTTTACTAGACGGGTGTGGTTTAACTATAATAGTAAAAACATTAAGATATGCAGGCATAAGCAATTTTAATTAATTGTGTGGGAGCTTCGTGTTCCTACCCTACCTTAAAAATTTTTCGAAATAAAATAAAACTTGAGTCAACAGCGGGATTCGAACCTGTGACCTCAAGCAAGTGACTTCAGGAAGCTTAAAGACTGGTTTACACTTGCTATAAAATGCAACACAAATGAATGCAAAATTGAAATTTGACCAATTTTGCATCAACTTCAAAGTGTTTTTGCGTCAAAAGGTCAAATCGCCTACGTTTTTTTGACTGTTTCGTTGAGTGTAAACCAGGCTTAAGGAGGTACCTACAAAGCATCTATGTTGGTGAAAGGCTAAATTTGCACATTTATAGTTCTATTTTATTGCTAACCTGGCATTTATTTGCACCCGGCTTTTATATTAGGGTATATGGCAAATTCATCAGAAAAAATTATAAGAACGGAAAATTCTCTCCTTTTGATTTTTTTTTTGCCTATATAACATGTATTATGGTACTGGGACAAGTGGCTACATAAGGACTATACCACAATCCTGTGGCAAAACCCTGTCCAACCTAACAGACTGTTTCAATAAAGATAATGACAGATCAAATTAAGCAATGTTGACACACAATGTCTGAACATTGTTTGAATGTAATTTTAGGCTCTGCATCTTTTTAGCTCACTTAGCATGCTTTGTGGAAAACCCTGGTCAAGGCCATGGTTTAAAAAATTTCAATTTGGGAAAAATGTTATTTTGCCTTGACAGCTTTTGAATGGTACTTTTAAAAGCAATCATTACATTAGCATTTAAAATTTATTTGCCTTCTCTATTTTTTTGGCAATTTCCAATTATGATGAGTTGACAAAATAGCATGCAGCACTCCTAGAAATGGCAAAACCAGTGTTGTCACATTTGACCCTGGCCTTCTTTCTGTTAGTAATTTACATGGTGGGGAATACCATAATAATTATCATTGGAACAATAATGTTATTCCTTGCAATATCTTAGTGCCGAGGGGATCGACAGCATGGGTAGTATGAATGTACAATGATGGCTGTCTAATTACAGCTCAGTGAATATCATTAAAATTTCATTTGCATGGCAAGTAGTCTGGCCCCACCCCTTCATACACCCCAAGAAATAAAACAAAAAACTTTACAGCTTAAAAGCTATTGTATACATGTACTAACTTACATTGAATGGAACAAAGAAGAACATCAAGGTAATTCTTAATTGGATATTTATTATGAAAGCAGTATGAAACCATGATAACATACCTAAACAATAAAATAGACTACTCGATAGACTAGGTTCCTGTTTACCAAGCATTTACCCAAATAATTCCATCCAGTATCCTCTTAAGCTGACACCTTTCGTACGTTTCATTGTGTATGTTGTCCATACCTGAGGAAGTTTTATAATGAAAGAAAGAATGATTACAGATCCATTTAGAATATCCTCGAACATGGTCTACAAGCACCTCCCCTTTTCTAAAATGATTCCAAAATGTGCTGGGATGGGTGACTGTTTGCAGAAGACTTTCATAAGAGTCTGAGGCTGGACTGAGCCTGATTCAAAAGAGGCAAGTACTTATACATTTAAGAAAGCAAGCACTTATACATTTAAAAAAGCAAGCTTTAAACTTGAAGCAATTTTTGAAACATACTGTGACATCACTGCATGTGGGCTGGAGATCCAAATCCAAGAAGCCTCCAACCTTTTGCAATTGTTGGAGCTCCCAATTTTAATGGTCTGAACTTGCTTTTATAGGTCTTCACTGTGTAATCTTTTTTATGCATAACATTACCATAATCTGACATGCACGTAGTGTCTATTTTCTGTTTAATTATTAGCTCAAATATATCTAGTTATTATTCTAGTTATGAACTGAAAGTTACATGCAGGCAGTCCTAACTGAGCTAGCCACACAATTTAACTTGTCTAGCTTATTATTTTAAATAATGCCAAGAGTACTGTGCAATGCCTATAGGTTTCAGTTTCTATGTAGTTAAGAATCTGGGGGAGGTGGCTATAGAGCCTCCCCCAGGCCACCACTTTGAATGCAGTGTTGCAATAGGGGCCCAGTGTTTTTACTGGGTTCCCTTCAGCACACATTAGGATTATTCCTATGTAATTTTACTCTTGTTTTGTGCTATACAGTCTATTAATAGTAGTAATGCTCTTCCTTTCCTTTATCTTCTGTTTTGTTTTGTTTCACATCTTTCTTGTTTTGTCCTTATTGTGTTTTATTGTGTTTGTGTTGTATTGTATTGTGCTTTTTGTTATTCTTTATAGTACTTACAGTTATTGTAGTCATTACTATTTGCATAGTTAACCACAGCTAACCACGATGATAAGATATTATAGGATATAGGAATTACACTAAAATAAATGTTATAAAATAAGCACTGCATGCTTTTATAAGCACTAGATCTATATGTATCGCCATAATGGTGTACTTAAGTGTAAAGGCTATAGTTAACCACAGAAAAAATTCCAAGGGCTGTAAATTTTGTGAATATCACAATTTTTTGAAGATTTGCAGAAATTACTTACGTGAAAATCAAATTAATAGAGCACAAGATGGCAAAAGATGGTATAAATCTGTGAAAATTAAATCCACAAAATAAATTTTAAGGCAAATTCATGAAATTTACAGCCCTTGAAAACTTTGCGCTATACAGTATATTAGTGATGCAATTTGATTAACCCTGTTTTATTCTCCTTAGTGTGTTCCTGTTCTTTTGTGTATCTCTCTAAGTTTAAGTTTACTGTTTACAATGCAATATTCAACGTTCAGGATAAATGGACCAGATGCATGAGCATAATAATTTATAATCAGTGTCTGCTAAAGACTGAGTATAAATAGGGTAACTATGTATATGATATTTTTGGACACTGAAGTTATTCATGGTTTGAATAATGACTTCCCACTTTTACATTAGTGTCTGCAACATCAGAAGCATAGATTTATTTGTTAAAAAATACATTCTTAAAAAATAATTTTACTGAGAACTTTTATAAATAATAATTATTTTTGTTAAAATTAGTTTCTAAATAGTAGACTTTGATACCCATATACCCATGTATTACAGTAACAATAAACAGATGGTGGTCATTTTAATTTTGGTGGACCAATGCATCAACTGTGATTGTTAGTCAATTTTAATCAGTTCCTGTTTCAACCCTTTCCCATTTATTATATAAATAAATTTCAGTCTGACTATTTCTTAGCTCCTAAACTAAATTTTGCAATGTCTGTACTCCTGAGAATATTAATTGCAGTGACTTTCAGTAGCAGTGTCATTAAGCAAGCCCTGGGTAAGAATTACAAGAGCTAGGTTAAATAAATGTTATAAAAGCACTGCATGCTTTTGTAAGCACTATATGTATTGCCAGATTTATACTTACAGTGTGATAGATCTACTACATAAGAATTGATACAATTATTGTAAATGATTTCCAATAATATAAACTTGTTAACATTGTATTATCTATTCTTGTGTCATTGCAGTAACTAACTTTGCTGTTATTTTTACAGAATATTTTATATTTATTTGCAATTTAAAAACTAAAATTGTTTTGCTACATTGTGACTAGCTTATTTTATAAGAATCATTTTATATCTATTAGTTGATTTGTCTATATTACAATTAACAGGTGATTGTGGCCTTGGGGCACTTCAGCTTGTCAATGGCAGTTCAATGTTTGAAGGGCGTGTGGAGATATGCTATAATAACACTTGGGGAACAATTTGTGATGATAACTGGAGTAATGCTAATGCTCAAGTTGTATGTAGACAGCTTGGATTCTCTACTATAGGCTAGTGTATTTACATGTACATGCACATAATAGACACATCGCTTTTATCCCAAGATATTAACAACACATTTAAAAATAAATTGATGATACTGCTCTCATTTATAATGTTCATCTCATGGTTGCATGTATTGGCTAACAAAAATTTAAACCATTTATAGTGTAAAACACAGAACTATAATCTTAGATCTGAAACTAAGAAAAATGTTGTGTAAAGTATCATTCCACGAAAACAACTAGAACCAATTAGATGTTATTGATCCTTCTGTTAGTTTATAATGACATTTATGGAATTATATAAACTGTCAAAGTCAACAAACATGTTTTCATGTTCTTTATATATATTGCACTATGCTTTGAAATAGTTATTGTTATTATTATAATGCTATAGTAGGAATACAGCTAACGTGTGTTGTTTTTTAAACCAATAGAAATGTGGCACTGTTATAATTAGTCACATAATGAAACATCAAAAATATTTTGCATGCTGTGCTGACAACTTGTGTATATGATTGTTTAAAAATCAGAACAAATTAAATTACATTTTAAGTCTAAAAATTATACTAGTATACCAAATAGTCTCAATTGTATTTTTCTATTGTTATAGGTGCCCACTACCGCAGTAATGCATATTATGGACAAGGGAATGGTTCTATAGTACTTGATGATGTTCGCTGTGATGGAACTGAAGCTTTATTGATACTGCAGTGCAGTCATTCAAATCTTCTAACACACAATTGTGGACATCATGATGATGTTGGAGTAGTCTGTCCTAGCACACGTATCTATTATAATGGTTTTCTAAATTATTATTATTATTATTATTATGCTATAGATAACTGTACTCATGGCTCAATACGTCTGGTTGAGGGTTCTTCTATTAGTAGTGGACGTTTAGAGATATGTATTGATAATGAGTGGGGCACTGTCTGTGATAATGGCTGGACTAACATTAATGCTCAGGTTGTCTGCAAACAACTGGGACAGAACCGTTTAAGTAAGAGGAATGTCTTTTTAAATTATGATTACTGAAATAGCTCTTTACCAGGGAGGTTTTTTCTTAAGTGATGCTTCATATGACAAAGGATCTGGCAGAATATTCCTTGATAATGTACAGTGCACTGGAGCTGAGGACACTTTAATACATTGTAGTTATAGTTCTGTTGAGTCAAGTTGTGAGCATCATGATGATGTCAGTGTGTTTTGCTTCAGTGAAAGTAAGTTTTGGTTGTATAACAGGTTTGTTTGTTTCTTGTTACATTTTGTGATATAATTGCATAGATGTCCGCAATAATCTGTTTTGGCTAAATTAGTTTGTTATAGTTTGTTGTGCCTTGGCCATGCTCTACTGAAGATTGTATTCACATTTGTAGCTCATTTTTATGTATCTAACTAATAATGTGTAGCCATTTTTAAAAATGATTGTCACAATTTAAGTTTTTTGTGCTGCATAGCAAAAAAAAGCAATATTTGTGTAAAATAGGAAAATTGTGCATAGCCATTATCATGAACTATGGTAAAGCCTATATGTTGACTCTTGTAAAAAATTTTTTTGTCATATATCTGCAATAATCATTTGTTTAAATTACTTTTTATTCAGATGAGGTGACTATCAATAATAAATTCAAAAAATTAACTGAATTAATAAAAAAACAAACTTGCATTAGTTATCTTGTTTTAAAATTAATATCCAATAGTACGCTCACCAGGAACAGTAATTCTCTCACGTAACAATTTGGAATTAACCACTTACAGTAGTGGAGTAGTGAGAGTCTATTATAGTAGAAGCTGGGGTAATATTTGTGATGATAGCTTTTATGGTTCAGCTGAGGCTAATGTCATTTGTCATCAGTTGGGATACACTGGAGCTTCAAGCTACTCTAGAGCTGGACTCACAGCGTAAATTAATAATTATATAATAGCTATACTTTTAAATTATTGTGTGTTTAGTTATGGTACAGATCAACTTCCTGTAATGTGGGATCAAGTCAGCTGTAGTGACAGCAATTATTTATCTATTGCTCAATGTTCCTATTCTATTGCTACTACTAATAGTAATAGTGCATGTGTTAATTCAAACTCTAATGATGCTACTGTCAGCTGCTGTAAGTATTAGCTTTTTTACAAGTACTATAGATTTATTTATTGCAGATACCACTAGGATATGGAATGCTCCATTTCCTGGAATGATACGTCTTCAAGGAGCTACATTTTCTAGTCAAGGGCGAGTTGAAATTTATTGTAATGGAGAGTGGGGTACTTTATGCAATGCTGGTTTTGACTCACTTAGTGCAAGCACTCTTTGCAGACAGCTAGGATATGACAATTATTATATTTATAACCATTTAGAATTGTAAGTTTCATTGTTAAGTGTACACATGTACAAGTGTATTATAATTATGTATTGGTTTATAGAACTGGCTCACCTAATCAACCCATATGGAGCTTAGATATTGTGAGCTCTATTTCTGGTACTTGTTTTAATTCAAGCAATACTTGTCCAACTACTTCAATATCAAATTGTACACATTTACGTGATGTCACTTTACAGTGCAGTTAGTTTTTCTTATTACTTATAATTTGTAATCAAATTTTAATTAGGAGACAGTGATAGTTCAACTAAATTGACTGTGACTACTGAAACTTGTCGTAAGTGAAATTAGCTCAAATGTTGTACAAAATGAATAATTTGATGTATTGCAGCTTTGCATGACATTATAACATTGAATATATTATTGGCATTACTGTTTTGTTTTAATATGTATTTTCCCAGGTTGCGTTAGTGGAACTATTTGTCTCGTTGGTGGATCCAATAGTATAGAAGGACGTGTTGAAGTATGCATTAATGGAGCTTATGGTACAGTTTGTGATGACTCTTGGGATAGTGATGATGCTACAGTTGTCTGTCGACAGTTGGGGCA